ATGAAAAAATGCTCACCATCTCTAGCAGTCAGAGAAATGCAAATCAAAACCACCCTAAGATACCATCTCACTCCAGTAAGATTGGCAGCCACTAGGAAGTCAAACAACAACAAGTGCTGCCGAGGATGTGGGGAAAAGGGTACTCTTGTACGTTGCTGGTGGGACTGCCAATTGGTTCGACCAATATGGAAAACAGTGTGGAGATTCCTGGAAAAGCTGGGAATGGAACCACCATTTGACCCAGCTATTGCCCTTCTCGGACTATTCCCTGAAGACCTTAAAAGAGCATACTACAGGGATACTGCCACATCGATGTTCATAGCAGCACAATTCACAATAGCTAGACTGTGGAACCAACCCTGATGCCCCTCAATAGATGAATGGATAAAAAAAATGTGGCATTTATACACAATGGAGTACTACACAGTACTAAAAAAATGACAAAATCATGGAATTTGCAGGGAAATGGATGGCATTAAAGCAGATTATGCTAAGTGAAGCTAGCCAATCCCTAAAAAACAATGCCGAATGTCTTCTTTGATATAATGAGAGCAACCAAGAACAGAGCAGGGAGGAAGAGCAGGAGAAAAAGATTAACATTAAATAGAGTCATGAGGTGGGAGGGAAAGGGAGAGAAAAGGGAAATTGCATGGAAATGGAAGGAGACACTCATTGTTATACAAAATTACATATAAGAGGTTGTGAGGGGAATGGGAAAAAAAATAAGGAGAGAAATGAATTACAGTAGACGGGGTAGAGAGAGAAGATTGGAGGGGAGGGGAGGGGGGATAGCAGAGGATAGGAAAGGTAGCAGAATACAACAGTTACTATTATGGCATTATGTAAAAATGTGGGTGTGTAACCGATGTGATTCTGCAATCTTTGTAATGTTTTGAATAACCAATAAAAAAATAAAATTAAATTAAATTTAAAAAAAAAGTTGTACACAGGGCTGGGGATATAGCTCAGTTGGTGGAGTGCTTGCCTTGCATGCACAAGGCCCTGGGTTCAATCCTCAGCACCACAAAAAAAAAAAAGGTTGCACACAGTTGGTGAGGATATGGGGAACCTAGCATTCTAAGGCACATTTTTTCCTCCACAGTGCTGGGGATCAAATCCAGGGCCTCCTGCCAGGGCTCTGCTATTGAGCTACACACCCAACCCTCTTAGGTACATTGATAGAAAAAGTAAGCAAGGGCTGGGGTTGTGGCTCAATGGTAGAGCGCTTAGCTACCATGTTTGAGGCCCTGGGTTCGATCCTCAGCACCACATAAAAATAAACAAAATAAGTATCCAACTAAAAAATAAATATTTAAAAAAAGAAAAAGCAAAAGCAATTTTGTGATCGGATTCAAATTATAACTGTTAATATCTTTAACATCTATTAACCTAGCATTTCATTCCAAATAATTCATTCTAAAAAATAAAAATTCCCAAATACCCAGAGGTACATTTCCAAAGATGCTCATTAAGCACTGCTTCTATTAACAACAAAAAAGGACAATGAGTGAAATGTCTGTCAATATCAAATTGTTTAAATAAACCATGACAGTTCTACACAATGAAATACTACTGAGTCACTGTAAGAATGAAGAATGCGTGTGTACACAAACATGGAATAATCTCCAAGGTACATGGTTTAATGAAAGAAAGGAAACTTGAAAACAGCATGTGTAATGTAAATGGAAAAAACTAAAGCACTGCCCCAAATTTGATGGCAGCTATCTTTGAGAGTGGTATTAAGTATAATCTAATGTAAAAGTTCTGTGTTTTGTTTGTATGTTATAAAACAACACATTAATGTAATAAATTGTTTTAAGATCTTCTAAAACAATATATTTTAAAATATTTTTTAAAAGCTTTATAAGAACATCACAATGTCCCTACAAATACTTGGATTATTAAAATAGGTTTCATTTAGTAAAATGTTGTTTCAGAACAGCCCCACTTTAAATTTTTTATTTTTTTTAGAGAATTTTAATATTTATTTTTTTTAGTTTTCGGCAGATACAACATCTTTGTATGTGGTGCCGAGGATCGAACCCGGGCTGCATGCATGGCAGGCGAGCACGCTACCGCTTGAGCCACATCCCTAGCCCTAGAACAGCCCCACTTTATAAAGTCAAAGATTAAACAAATGAGATCCAAAATTGCAAAAAGCATTTACAGAATTCTTATAAACCTTATTAAAATAAATAATTCCAACATGAATGTTTTTCCATAGGTTTTTCTTTTTTATCTAAACCACAAAGCAATCTTGTAGGAAATCATACAGAGTTATGTTCCACATAATGATATTTCAGTCATTATGACAATCAACCATTTTTCCAAAGGTAAATACCACAAATCCTAGATGTGTTGGAAGCCATCCTGTCCAGGTTTGTTTAGGTAGATGCTATGATATTTGAACAGTGATAAATAAATTGCCTGCCTACACATTTCTCAGAAGATGTCCCCATCATCAGGCAACACATAACTGTATTTTCATAAACATAGTCCCAGAATTTAATTATTCCTTATTTATTCTTTGTCCAAGTGAAATTAAATACTTTGATCGACATGTAGATTATAATTCAATTTCTATGAAACTATTCTTCTACCCTTGTACCTGAACACATGTAAGACTTATGCTCACCTAATGTCAATGAGGGTCATTTCTGAATGATGAATATTGGATAATTTTACTTTCTTCCTTGTATTCTTCTTCATTGCTCAGATCAATTATAATGAATAGAGATGACTTATCGTGGTTCAATGCATGCTTATTTAACTTTAGAATGATGCAAAAAAAGTATGCATTCAATAGAACCCATATTTGAAATTTTGAATTTTGATACTTTCTGGGGCTAGCAATATGTTGCAAGATACTTTCTCATGATGTTAAGCTACCACAGTCAAGAGATCATGAGGGTAAACAACAGAAACTCAAGAGTATACTGTGTTGTTAAGCTATGGTGTTCAATAGATTAGGTGCATCAAATGAAATTTGTTTGTTTGTTTTTTGGTACCAGAGATTTGAACCCAGGGGCACTCAACCAATGAGCCACATCCCCAGACACCTTCATTTTCTATTTTGAGACATGGTCTCACTAAATTACTTAGGGCCTCACTAAGTTGCTGAGACTGGCCTAAAACCTGTGATCCTCCTGCCTCATCCTCCCGAGTCACTGGGACTTCAGGCATGCACCACCATGTCCTGAATCAAATGCAATTTTGACTTATTATTTTTCAACTAACAATGTTTTCAACTTATAATGGGTTTATCAGAAGGGAATTCATCATTAGTGGAGGGACATCTATATATATCACTAACATAAGGCTTTTAAATACACTTATTTTTTAAATTAGCTATTGTCATTTTACCCCTGTTAGTTTATAATTATTATCTTTTCGGGATATTCCAAGGACTTGTGATATTCCAAGGCTTTCTCAATATTTAACCTTTGAGCTCTAATGATAAGCCCACTAAAAAAAAAAAAAAAAAAGTGCATTAAGCAATTACATAAAATCTCAGACTTAAGAATAAATTTGTGTTTAAAACAAAGTCCAGCTCTCCAAACATCTGGTTAAGAACATCTGTGTGACAATTACCACCATCAATTGACACATAATTAGAGCTTGAATTCCAATACATAAACTCATGGTCTTAATCTGTGGGTCCAAAGGTGAGACTATCAGGAATCATAAGAAATTAGGGAGATAAGCAATTAAAACTGGGAAAACTACGTGAGAAACTGACATTGTAACAAAGGCAAGGAACTGAGGGGTAGAACAAGAGGGGCGGGGGGAGCTATTTGAGAGTTTAGTATTTACCTTTGAGTTTTCAGTGGGAAAAAAAGGTAAATTTTTATGCCTTAGAAATATGTAGATGCGCTTCCTACTTTTTCAAGAAATTATATTTAGAATTAAAATAAAATTCTCATTCTATTTTCACCTATAAATCAATTTTTAAAGTATTAAAAAAAAAAAACTCACCTGCCTGGCGTACTGGAAATTCCACATGGTCAGAGACTATAATCCGAAGTAAACTGGGGGCAAAATTGATAATCTTGTAAGACTGAAATGACAAAGAATAGTTTTATAAAAAGAGGGAAATGTCAATAAATATCTATTAGCACCTGTTAATGAATACCTTATCATCCAGATAAAAGAAAAACTGCTGGGGCTGGGGATGTGGCTCAAGCAGTAGCGCACTCGCCTGTAATGCGTGTGACCTGGATTCGATCCTCAGCACCACATACAAAGATGTTGTGTCTGCCAATAACTAAAAAAATATTAAAAATTCTCTCTCTCTCTTTAAAAGAAAAAAGAAAAACTGCTAATATAAAACAAATTCTCCATGGCAAAATGAAGATTATTAAGATACTTCAAGTCAAAAGACAATTTCTTAGAATAAGCTCATAAATAAAAGTGTGAACACTTAGGATTTTTTTTTTTTAACTAGGTACTGAACTTAGGGGCACTCTGCCACTGAGCCACATCCTCAGTCCTATTTTGTATTTTGTTTAGAGATAAGGTCTTACGGAGTTGCTTAGTGCCTCACCTTTGCTGAGGCTGGCTTTGAACTAAAGATCCTCCTGCCTCAGCCTCCCAAGCCACTGGGATTACAGATGTGCACCACCCCGCCAGGCACTTATGATTTTTTTTTTTTATTTTTAAAGAGAGAGAGAGAGAGAAGAGAGAGAGAGAGAAGAGAGTTTTTTAATATTTATTTTTTAGTTTTCGGTGGACACAACATCTTTTGTTTATATGTGGTGCTGAGGATCGAACCCGGGCCGCACACTTGCCAGGTGAGCGCGTTACCACTTGAGCCACATCCCCAATGATTTTTGACATATGCTGCCAAAATGCTTTTCACAAAGAATATGCAAAATCACACACTCAACAGTAGTATACAAGTGTCCATATAAGCAATGTAGGTAGAGTATTAACCATTTCTTTGAAACTTTAATACTTTAAGTTATATTTCCTCTATTACTAAGGAGGCTTTTTGTGATTGCTATTGTTTTGTTTGGGTGCTAATTGCTTCCACAAATTTCTTACTCCATTTATCTTTTTGTAGGTAAAATTTTCACTTTTTCTCAATAAAGTCTAAAAGCTATTTATGGATTTGAAGTCTCTGAGTAACTCATTACAAGTGTTTATTCTCAAATTATTTGTACATTAATTTTGTTATTTTTGACAAACGCAAATCAAGAAAACATCAGCTACAGAAAACTGGATATCCAGACCAGACGATGTTAAATAATGCCTAAGCTATGGAGAAGAGCCAGTCCAGATTGGAACAGGGTGACTCACAAGACAGGGTTGAAAGCTGTCCTTGCCAGCTGTCCTCTGCAGCTATAGCATCTTTTAAACTTAACAATGCCTAAGGGAGCCTATGCTGATGGAGTTTCTTCTCTGTCCTGCTGCTTGAGTCACTTCACGCCCCAGACATGCTCTACACCAGTAATCTGCTCCTGAGTTTGGCCATGGTAACCTTAGAAGCAAAGAAAAGAAACAGAGCAGCCAGTTCCTTCTGGCCATGCTCTACATAGATGTTTAGTATCTGGACCTTCACAACCCTGTACATTCCCAGAGCCCATAAATGGATTTGCCCACTGACAATCCCAGAAAAGACTTGTAAATTCTCACTGAAGCCAAACCAGACAATGCCCCACAGAGTCTGTCTAGCTTACATTCTCCTGGGAGCCTGAATCTCTGGTATCATCCCTTTGAAGATACAGCTAGGTTTGTGCATACATTCATTTATTTAATCACCTTTCCTATTACTTTATTTATAAAGTAGCATTTAAGGTAAATATAATTAAAAATAAATTTGGAGAAAAACAACATATTTTCCATTCAAGTACATTTTTGTGCTTTCCCAAATACTTCAGTAAAATTTTGTATTATCTTATAATTATTCTTCCCTCCTGTATAGTCTTTAAAATCTTAAATCTGGGGCTGAGATTGTGGCTCAGTGGTAGAGTGCTCGCCTAGCTTGTGAGAGGCACTGGGTTCGAAAGATTTATAAATAAATAAAGGTATTGTCCATCTATAACTAAAAAATTTTTTAAGAAATCTTAAATCTATCATACTTAAGGGAAATTCATTTTCATAATTGAAACTACAAAATTTCAATTTTTTTTAAGTTGTAGTTGGACACAATACCTTTATTTGTTTTAATGTGGTGCTGAGGATCGAACCCAGGGCCTCGTGCTTGCAAGGCAAGCGCACTACCACTGAGCCACCCAGCCCCAAAATTTCAATTCTTAAAGAAACATATTTAACTATAATTTACAAGTGGCAAAATTAATATAGATTTAGCACCATCTTCTACATCTCTCTACATACATGTTATAAAATAATTCATTTGTGCTGGGCACAGTGGCACACTTTGTAATCCCAGCAGCTCAGGAGGCAACAGCAGGAGGATCAGAAGTTTTGAGAGTGAAGCCCTAAAGCAACTTAGCAAGACCCTGTCTCAAAATGAAAAATAAAAAGAGGGCTTGGGATGTGGCCCAGTGGTTAAGTGCTCCTGGGTTAAATCCCTAGTCTCAAAAAAAAAAAAAAAAACAACTATATCAGTTACTTTTAATCATAAAACTAATTGGTTACTTTTTTAAAAATCTTCCTACACATAAAAACAACATAACCTTTACACTTAGATAATGCTACTTATTTGAAATTAATTTCAGCATTGTTGCCACAGTTGGAACTTCTCTTTTTTCAACTGTTTACATTTTAAAGAACTTCAGGAACTTTGTCTTCTCCTTTTAGCTTTGTTTCAATGTATGTTAATTTGGCCAGATAAAACATTCAGCAGTAAATTCTGGTATATTCTCATACTATTTGCCTCACAAATATTACTCAATTTCTTTGTCCTCCTTTGGGCTTCAAGTTTCTAAAAAATAAATAAATATTTAAATAAATAAATACATAAATGAGATAACTGATTTCTCCATGATTTCTTAAGGATGTTTATTTTGAATCTGTGAAGTTCACTGAAAACTGTTTTCTTGCTTGGCTATCTTCTGCATTTTATGAGAACTCCTATAAAGCAAAAGCCTGATTTTCCCATTCTCTGATTCACTGCTCTGACTACATTTACCTTTCAAGTCTTCTAAAATGACAGGTTGAGGGCCTTTTCTGAATTTGCTATTCCCTCTGCTCCTCTCCCAATTCTCTTAGCTCGCTCATTCACAATATCTATGTCTGTTCAATGTCATTCCTCAGAGAATGATTACCCTATGCATATATTCCAACACACTTTCTCAGGCTTTATTAGCATGAAATTATATTATTTGCTTGCCTGTATCTCTAACATATAAGCTCCATGGGAGAAGAATCTTATACCAATGCCTACAATATAACTCTGTCATTCATATAAACAAACTCTCTAAAAGGGGAATAAAAATGGGCTAGAGTGTACCTACTGGGTGTAGAGTAGTTACTGGAGATCTACTGGGTGTAGATCCCCATTAACTAATATGCAGGCGCGCGCGCACACACACACACACACACACACACTTCCATGGAAAATGGGGATTCCAAATTTTGGCAATTAAAGTAATTATATTTATTTCCCTATTGAAAACATGTGGAGGATAATTTTAAAAAGACGACTTTTAAAAAAATGTTTAGTTATAGATGGACACAATACCTTTATTTTGTTTATTTATTTGTATGTAGTGCTGAGAATCAAACCCAGTGCCTCATGCTCAAAAGAAGGCATCTTGGGGCTGGGGTTGTGGCTCAGCAGTAGAGCGCTCACCTAGCACGTGTGAGGCCCTGTATTCGATCCTCAGCACCACATAAAAATAAATAAAAACAAAGATATTTAAAAAAAAAAAAGATGACGACATCTTTCTCAGTGAGTTACAGAAGCAAGAAATCTACCCAATGCTACTCCTCTATGCTGCTGCTAAAGGGACTTCTGGTGGAGAGACAGTGAGGAAGGTGTACAGTATTCATTTTTAATAAAAAAGACTCAAAAATCTATTTTCCATAGAAACAATATCACAGACAGTCAGAGAACCAGTCACTGCTAAGAGAAAAAAGCTGGTCTAAGAAAACATAGCTTCCAAATAAGAATTTATCCCTTAGACCTTAGGCTGTTATGCTGAAGCTACTTACTCTTAAAGCAATTGACAGATCAATCAGCACACTGTAGAAGCTACCCCCATTTCCTATGCAAAGCATATTTGCTGAGGTGGGGCAGTCTAGACTAAAATTAATGAGCTGGGGACTAGAATGTAGCTCCATGGTAGAGTATTTGTCTAGCATGTGCAGGAACCCTGAGTTGGATCCCCAGCACTATGAAAATAAAAATTTTAAAAACACAAAATTTTAAGAGGAGAACCATAAATACTTATGATAGATTACCCACCAGATTATCCAGCAAAGCAGAAAGTTACAGTGGTGGTAATGAACAAGCATACAAAACCCAAAAACCATAAACTATGTGAGTTTTTGTTTTCCATACTGGGGACTGAACCCAGGGATTCTCTACCACTGCACTACATCTCTAGTCCTTGTTATTTTAAGAGAAGGTCTCACTAAGTTGCTCAGGCTGGCCTAAAACATGCAATCCTTCTGCCTCCAGCCTCCCAAATAGCTGGGATTACACATGTGTGTCACCATGTCTAGCTAAACCGTGTTTTACTATAAGGTTAAGTAATATTATATGGTGGCCTTCTATTTACAGACAATTCCAAAAAACTTAGTGTGGATATATTGCAATGCAAAACACCATACAAAACAAATGCTAAATGAGTGGCATGGCAATAATCTACATACATACATTTATTTATTTATTTATAGAGTTTTTTGTTGTTGGTAGTGGTTTTGCAGTGCTGGGGATGAACAAAGGGTACCTTAAGAAGTTGCACTGGAAATGGTCTGTGATGAGGAGAAGGGGGTCACAAACAAGCTAACTCTCCTGTTCATATTAGAAAATTGCAAGTTCAGCTCTTGTTTTGTTCTTCCTAACCAACCCCTGGATTACTATTCTTCCAGCTAATCTGCAAAGCAGGTGCTGACTTTAACTTTATCCTGAGTGATGGTCCTGACACATCCCCTTTGGGTTTTAATACAATCTCTGTCTTCATAGTACTTTCACAATCCCTTTTATCGCTTGGGAATCCAGGTTTCAGTCTACTCAGAACTCCACACAGATTTCCCATTAAGATAATTCCTTTCAAAGACTCACAACTCATATCTGCTTTTTAAAATTAACCCCAACAGAAACATTTACTTAGGACAGACTTTATCACATTTTAGAAGGAACAGAATCACCTGGTGAGTTAGTTAAAACACAACTGGTTCCCACGCCCATAATTTCCCTTTAAGTCTGGGAAGAAACCCCATCACTTGCACTTTCAATAATTTCTCAGAGGATGTTGATGTGCTGGTCCTGAGCAAATACCTTGCGAGTAATTAATTTGAGAATATTCCTTTATATTTTAAGGATTGTTAGAACTTCAAACAGTGGTCACCTCATCCTAGGAGTAGGTATCATTTGTACTTTTTAGTAACAGGTCTATGGTTCAGTGTTACAGGTATGAAGGAAGAAATACGTTAGAGTCCGGGATCATTAAGTTTTTGGAATATTGGGGATAACACTAACAAGGTTGGTTAGGAAGAACATCTGAAGTCGAATAGAAGAAATTCTTACACATTTTAGCATTTAAAAGAAATCCCTCCAAACACCGATTAGGGGATGTGTCTTTGGTAAAGCACATGAAAACTGCCCTTTCTTCCCAGAGCACTCTCTCGACAGCAATGCCCAGCGCTCCAACAAAACTCTTGCCACTCTTTGTCAAGAAAGACCGTGCCAACCCCACAGAAGCAGGCGATGGGCAGGGTTTCCCACAGCAACACCTAAAAAGGGTTGGGTCTGGAGAAAAGCTAACTCGGCTTTGAATATGAAGTGAATTTCCCCCAACCGCGTCCTCAATTCCAGATTCGGAATTGAATTCGGATTCCAGCTACGGAAAAGCTTCCCACCCTGAAGACACCGGCAAAGGTTGCAAAAGCTTCTCTATTTGGACCAAGTGGGGTTGACAAACTGCACTGGGAAGGAAGGCGACACGAAAAGACGCAAAGGTGACCAACAGGTGCGTGAGTTGTTCCGCAAAGACCCCGGGGGAGTGCCATGCTGCTCCCCTGGACCCGGGGCGGGACAGGCCGAGGGAGCGCCGGGGTCCCGAGCCCGGGTGCGGGTAGAGACGAAGGGCGTCGAGCGGGGAGAGCTGGCAATCCGGCTGGGGGCACCGCTTCGGCGGCAGCGGGGCGCCGAAGGCCCGCTCTCACCTGGTTGAGCTCGTTCTCTGCTGCAATCCGAAGCTTCGGGTCGATGGTGCCCTTCAGCGCCTGGATGATCCGGTTGAGGTCCATCTCCCCGGGTGGGGGCTCCGCGGCCCCCGGACCAGTAGGCCAGACTGCAGATTTAGTTTTATTTGGACCCTCTCACCTTCCTCCCCCGCGACGCCTAGACTACCTCACTCCCCAACCCCCGCCACCGTCGCCACCTGCAGCCACTTGCTGCGCCACTCTGACTCCGCGCCCCCTGTCCTCCCTCTTTCCCCCCCACAACTCGCTCTCCATTCACCCTTTTACGACAGCCGGTGGGAGGCGGGAGAAGTAAGAAGAGGAAGCGGCGCCTCCTTTACGGCGGCCTCTTCCCCCGGGCGTGATGCTGTGACCGGCTCCCACGGGCGGCGCCATGATACTGTACGGACAGAGCTTTCGACTTCTACCCGCAAAAGGGAACGTGCGGCCGAGTTCAGGAAGGCAGCTGCCATGCTGCTGTACGGAAAACAGCCTCGGGGGAAACAAGTTTGGCTGTTGTCTTCTTACAGCCGCTTCCAAACGTAGCGGGTCTAGTGGAGTGACACTTTCTGTTACTCCGAAAACTGCTTGGGCATCGCAGCTAAACCTATTCCATCACAGACTTATTGGGACCTTAAGATTATGTAGCCGCCGGGAAGACAGAGTTGCTTCCCAGTCTATTATGGGAGCCATCATTCATTCATTGACTCACTCACCGAACATTTGTTAAACTTATATTTCGGATCCAGAATTCTAGGATGTCTAAGTACCACGTTATAACAAGATGAATTCGATACAGTTTAATATAAAGGCATTCAGGACCTTCGAGGAAAGACAAATATAAACATATGAAGTATATTTTCTGCGTGAGGAAACACAGGTCAGGGAAAGTCTATGGCTGAGATTTTCCAGAAAAAAATTCCAGAGGCTCTCAGAAAAATAGTGAATGACAAGAAGAGGGTGACACTATTTCCAATTACAACAGCCGTATCTGGCCCCACAACTTTAATGACATAAGAATGTAGAGCAAATTTTTCCTGAAATTAGCCCAGAAAAGGGAGTTTTAATTACATTTAGTAAACATGGCTGTGAGCAAAATACAATTAAGGGATGGTGGTCTTTCCAGGAGCACAAAATCAAGATTGATGGGTTCAATTAACTGGGTTTAATGAAAAGGGTAGAAAATGTGGCAAAAAAACTTATCTGAAACAAGGCCCTTCAGCTGGGTGCAGAAGTAATGAACTTGTCTCTGATTGCTTTGAGTGTTGCCCCTCTTTTAATTCATTATCCACAGTACCATCAGAGTAAGGTTTCTGAAAGGTTAATATGGTCCTATCCCTTCTTTGACTTTCCATAAATTCTAAGATAAAAAACAAATTCCTTAACACTGCAGGGTCCTTTGAAACGATGGCTTTCATCTCTTTCATTGTGGCATTCTCTCTCTCTCTCTTGGACCTCATGATTATGTCAAGTTTCTTTACATCTGAAATCTTAACTCCAATATCATCTTTTCTAGTCAGAAAGTGTTGTTCCATGTTTCTCTTGCTCAATACTTCTACACCTTTTTTCTAACCCAACTGATACTACTGGTTATCTGCCACGAATTCTGCTCCCCCACATATTGATATTTGAACATTGGAGAAGCACTCTGGAGGCAAGCATATAAAGCAGGGTTTATTAAGAAAGGGGTAACATAGGAGGAACATAGGGAGGGAGAAGGGGGCCATAGTGATATCCTGGTACCCCCAGAAGCCAGATGTTCTGCCCTTTTTATAAGTCCTAGGCTTCCTTTGTTCTGCCCTCTTCCCCTTATCTCTCTCCTTTCTGCATACAGGATTAGGCCTAGGAAATCCTTGGTGGGATGGCCAAAAGGTGGAAACAGGTAGGATGAAGGGGGAAGGGCAGAATGGTGCAACCAACTACACTTTAACAACTTATAGCTCCCTGTAGGGCGGTTACCTTGGCAACAGGTTGGAGCAGGGGCAGGTTCTAGATAAGGGTGATGGAAGGGCTCTGTAGGAATTAACATTTCAGTCCTTCAGGGGAGTCTCCAACTTCTCGGACTCACTCAAAATTGGCCTCCTTGATCCGACTTGACTCAATTTACCTATCTATGCTGACTGCCTGTCTAATTCTGGCTTCACAATCACTACTTCAGTTCTCTTAGACTATCCACTCCTGACTCCACATCCTCTTCTTCTATTAAACTCCCAATTCAATTTCTCAAGCCCACCCTGGCCCCACTGTACAAACTGACAACACTACAAACACGTGGGTTTTTTTCTCAGACTCAACAATCCTATTCCTTGTGATTAATCAGCACCATCTCTCATTTCTTCAATGACTGTTCCAACCCTCAGGACTCTTCTCAAACCCCTTACCCCAAGGATGAGGAAAGTCATTAGGCTGAACTCACCAAACACAAATTAATCTCAGCTTACCCCTCTCCACCTCCCTCCCACCAGTCTGAACCAAATCTTCTCTCCCATCTCTTCTAGAACCTTTCTCCTTAAATCTCTCCTTTCTTTTGTATAGTTTTTCATTAAGATAAATTTGGGGTATTATTACATGCTCTTTGTTGACTAATTATAATATTTTTTCCTATATTTTGGGGGTATTCTCCCCAGTAATTCAACTTTATCCTAAAACATTGGCCTCCAGTTTTTTTTAAATCATTTTTCCATTAATACTCTCTAATTATTGCTTGTTCTTTTCACTTTACATTCAAAGAATCGCTTCATTCATTACCTCCACTTTATTTCCCATTCATGCTTCAAGTAGGTATCCCTGGTCTTCTGCCTGCATTTCTACTGAAACTGCCAAGCAAAAATGAACACTAGTCCCTTTAGCTACCAAATGCAAGATATATTTTTAGTCTTCCAATTAAATTGTCTCTCATCTGGCATATAACACTGTATTATATGCTCTTTTGCTAATGTCTCACTTCTTGTTTTACTTTCCAAAGTATATCCTAGCCCTTTGAATACTCAGTTACCCAACTCTTAAGTATGAATGGACTCTGGACTCAGTTCCTTTCTTTCTCTTCCACCCACACTGCATGAGTCATTTCATCTACTTACATAACTTTAACCATAAACTTAAAGAGACAATTCACAAAAGTTCTAACCAATGTCTCTTTAAGTTAGATGAATCCAAATGCCTACTACATTCATACCAAGATATGTCATCTCTCAAAAATTTTTCGGCGCATGTCTGAAAATGAATTTTGACACCATTAAAGAAGATGGTCAGGAGTAGGGAGACTTGATGTAGTTATTTCAATAATGTAAAAGGAGAGGAGACAGAAAAATTCTAGTGGTTTGAAGTACTGGCTGGAGCAGCCGAGTGGAAAAAGGGGCCGTTATGGGAGCAGGAGCTGATCAGGATGGCAGCACCACAAAAGCACAGAGATTTCGTGTCAAAGTCTATAGAGGGAATGCCAGTGGGGAGCCTGGCCAGGATTGAGTAAGTCCTGGACAAGAAGCTGGAGGAAAAGGACTTTTATAAGACATCTGTGGTCCTAGTTTTGGGTGCTAAAGAAAGATGAAGAAGGAAATGGGGCTCCAAGGCCAAAAAAGAGTCCCAAGACGGCTTTGGGTGCTTTTAAGAATGGTGTGATGCCTTCTTGTGATGTGCTCTGGAGAACCCTCAGTCCCCAACCCCATTGAATGTCCAGAGTTGGCAGCTGAGTGGGAGTTCCTTGTCCTCTACAAAGGAAAAGATTCCTTTTTGTACTTCAGGGTCTCTCGGAGTTCTCTCCCCTCACCATTTCTATCTTTTTGGAATTATTGCTCTTGCATGCATCTGCCTTCCTCCTTCCCCTGCTAGTTTCATGGAAACATTTAACCAACTTTTCTGATTGGGCTTTTGGCCCCTTCCCTCACCCCATCTTTCACTTCTGGTCTGTTTGATTCCATTTGGTGCCTTTTATGGCATAAATCACTGTCCTTGTAAATTTTTTTAGATCAATAAAGTCATTGGCCTTAAAAAACAGGGGCGGGGGCTGGGGATGTGGCTCAAGCGGTAGCGCGCTCGCCTGGCATGCATGCAGCCCGGGTTCGATCCTCAGCACCACATACAAACAAAGATGTTGTGTCCGCTGATAAAAAAAAATAAATAAAATATTTTAAAAAAACAGGGGCGGTTGGGGGCGCTCGTGTACACCTATAATCCCAGCTGCTCCGGAGGCTGAGTTAGGAGGATTGCCAAGTTCAAAGCCAGCCTCAGCAAAAGGGAGGCACTAAGCAACTCAGTGAGACCCTGTCTCTAAATAAAATACAAAATAGGGCTGGAGATGTGGCTCAGTGGTCAAGTGCCCCTGAGTTCAATCCCTGGTATCCCCAAACACACCAAAAAAAAAAAAAAAAACTAAACATGCAACTTCCACATGACCTAGAAATTGCACTCCTGAGCATTTGTCAGAGAAATGAAGGCTTGTACTCATGTAAAACTTTCAGGTAAGCTGGGAATGGTGCCCTGTGTTGGGAGGCTGAAGCAAGAGGATCATGAGGCCAGCATGGGCAACACAGTAAGACCCTGTCTCACTGAGACAATTGGGGTACCTCAGTGGCAGAGCCCACACACAAGCCCTAGGTTCAATCTCTATCACTGGGGGGCCAGGGAGAAGCACCTATTAATAGCAGTTCTCCTCATTATAGCTAAAAACTAGAAACAATCCAGATATCCTTCAATGGGAAAATGGTTAAACTGTGATACATCTACGCCTTGGAACTCTACTGAGCAAAAAAAAAAAAAAAAAAAAAGGAATGATACGTGCAACAACCTGAATGATCTGTGGAGAATTATATTGAGTGAAAGAGGCCAAAGGATATGTATTGAGCTGTGAATATAACTCAAGGGTAAAGCACTGACAGCAATAGAAGATGCCCTCAGCTGAATCCCCAGAACTACACACACAAAAAAGGGGGGCAAAACAATGTGTATTTTCTAATTCCATTTACATAAAATCCTTAAATTTTTTTTTAAAGAGAGAGTGAGAGAATTTTTTAATATTTATTTTTTAGTTATCAGCGGACACAACATCTTTGTTTGTATGTGGTGCTGAGGATAGAACCCGGGCCGCACGCATGCCAAACGAGCGCACTACCGCTTGAGCCACATCCCCAGCCCAAAGCCTTAATATTAAAATATATAGAAAGATCAAGTCAGTAGTTTCTGCAGGCTAAAAGAAGGGCAACTTGAG